GAAAATTTTCAATCTAATCAGTTCCGGGATGTATTGAAAGCAGCAGATGAACCTTTATGGGCAGGTTGTGACGACCACACTAAGTTATCGGTGACAGCCCGACTATTAAATATCAAGGCAGAGCATAATGTGTCTGCGGATTACTTCAACTCTTTTGTTGAAGTAATGCGGGAATCATTGCCTCGTGATAACATCATGCCAAGTGATTTTTATGATATGAAAAAGCTAGTGGATAACTTAGGTCTTCCGGTTGTAAGGATTGATGTATGTAGTAAGGGTTGTATGATATATTGAAGAGATGATGAAAATGCAGAATCTTGCAAATTATGTAGCCAACCTAGGTACAAGATTAACAGGAGGCCGGGTCGTAATCAGAAGCGTAGACCATGCAAGCAAATGTTTTATCTGCCCTTAATCCCCAGATTGCAAAGGCTTTATGCGTCTAAAGCCACTGCTGAACACATGACTTGGCATGCAAATCATGAAACAGAAGAGGGTCTAATGTGTCATCCTTCAGATGCGAAGGCATGGCAACATTTTGATAGAACATACCCTGAGTTTGCGATGGAGCCTCGGAACATCAGGTTAGGTCTCTGTGCCGATGGATTTGCTCCATTTGGGAAAACAGGAAAAAGTTATTCATGTTGGCCAGTTATCTTAACGCCGTACAATCTTCCACCTGGTATGTGCATGAAGACACCTTATATGTTTTTGACATTGATCGTGACAGGGCCGCAAAATCCGAAAAAGTTGATAGATGTTTATATGCAACCATTGATTGAGGAGTTACAACGGCTATGGGTTGAAGGTGTCCCTACGTATGACGTTTCTACCGATCAAACATTTGTAATGAAGGCTGCCCTTCTTTGGACGATAAATGACTTTCCAACTTACGGAATATTATTTGGATGGAGTACAGCTAGGATCTTAGGATGTCCGATATGTTTGGAGAGGTCAAAGTCATTTAAATTAAAACATGGAAAGAAGCCCAGCTATTTTGACTGTCACAGACAATTTTTACCGCCAAGTCATCCTTTCAAAAGGAATAAGAAAGAGTTCACCAAGAATAGGACTGAAAGAATGCGTCCACCATTGAGGTTGACCGGCGATCAAATTTGGGAGCGTGTGCAGGACTTTCCAACTGTTGTTGAAAACCCGCACGGCACGACTTTTGCGTACGGAAGTACACATAAGTGGACAAAATGCAGTATATTTTGGGATCTACCATATTGGAAGGCCCATCTTATTCATCATAATCTTGACGTCATGCACATAGAAAAGAATGTTTTCGACAATGTCATAAATACTGTGATGGATGTCGCCGGAAAAACAAAAGACAACTTGAACGCAAGAAAAGATATGAGAGATATTTGCGATTGGCCAATACTAGCTGTGGATGCAAGCAGTAGGGGACCAAAATCGAAAGTAGTTAATACATTGGATAAGGAGCAGAGGCGAGTTGTTTGTCAATGATTGAAATCTGTGCGGTTTCCTGATAGATATGCTTCGAACCTCGGGAGATGTGTTGATTTGAATGAATGCAAGTTCACAGATTTGAAGAGTCATGATTGTCACATCCTAATGGAAAGACTAATTCCAATAGCTTTGAAGGAAGTTCTACCGAACTTTGTATGGGGCGCCATTACAGAGTTAAGCAATTTCCTCCATGATATTTGCTCGACAGTGTTAAAAGCATCGCACATGGAAAAACTAGAGAGAGATATTCCAATTATTCTTTGCAACTTAGAAAGGATATTTCCTCCAGCGTTTTTTAATTCGATGGAGCATCTCTTAGTTCACTTGCCTTATGAGGCCAAAGTTGCAGGTCCCGTCCAATTTCGATGGATGTATCCATTTGAGAGGTAATGTTTTTTTTAAAATACAGTTCAAATTAGTTTATCATATAATATGTTCCGATAAGCTTCTTTCTATTTCAACTAGATTTTTATATCATTTGAAGAAAAAAGTGAAGAATAAGGCACGTGTTGAAGCTTCAATTTGTAATGCATATATTGTGGAAGAAGTGACAACATTTGCATCATACTATTTTGAGCCGCACGTTCAGTGCAAGAGGCGGAGAGCAGGCAGAAATGATGAGGGCCCCATTGATCCCAATTGCACAGCATTCTCTATTTTCAATTATCTAGGTCGATCAAGCGGCGCATGTCAGTTTCGTTACTTATCAGGCGAAGAATTTCATGCAGCCCGTACTTATATTTTACTGAACTGCCCAGAAGTCGAGCCATACTTCAAGTAAGTGTAAATTTGCAAATATATGTTTTGTGTGTCAAATATTTGCTAATATTTATATGGTTTTTAATATGAGGATTTTCCAAACTGAAATGTTTGGACTACAACCAAATGAGTTTGACCGTTTGTGCGATGAACAATTTGCAGCATGGTTAAAGACATATGTAAGTTGCCTATGGACCAAAACCAAGTTATTAAAATTATATACATCATTTAGTATAATATATATTATTGACTTTGCATGTGTAACCTTAGGTTCACAGTAATTATGATGGAATTGGAGGGCAAGGATTGCTATATCATCTGTCATGGGGTCCACAGTTAAGAGTTCGAAGTTGGCCAGCATATTTCATAAATGGATATAATTTTCATACTCAAGAATATGGAATGGGAAAATCCACATTGAATAGTGGTGTGTGTGTTCGGTCATCCAATGGTGGCAGTTCAGAAGATGATTTTTATGGCTTGTTCGATGAAATCATAGAGATAGAGTACCCTGGACCATTAATGATGCGGATTGTGTTATTTAAGTGCACGTGGCTCGATCCCGTCAAAGGAATGAAGGTGCATACGAAGTTCAATTTGGTTGAAATAAATCACAAGAAAAGGTATATGAAGTATGAACCATTTGTCTTGGCACAACAAGCAATTCAAGTAATGTTATGCATCATATCCTAATTTGAAACGTGACAAAGCTGATTGGTGGGCTGTATGTAAAATCAAAGCACAGAGGAAAATCGAGGAACACTGGAAGGATAGAGCCTACCAACAAGAGGAAGTGTGTAACACGGTTGAAATTGAGGAATATAACATACCAACTTTACGAGATCCGTGTAGAGCAATGATAGATGTGGATCCAACTGAAATTTGCGAATTAAATGTACAAGAATGTTCAGAATCTGATTTTCAGACAGATGACGAAGACGAAGACGAAGACAAAGTTGAAGATTAAAATTTTTGTCACAAAACACTATAGATGTGTAATTATTAATGCTACAAGTACTATTTTGGTTGTTATCATTATTGTTCTTGTTATTATTGTTATTGTGCTTTTTTATTATTGTTATTGTCGATTATTCTTTTTATTTTAATTGATCGTCCGAAATTTTGTCCCTAAATGCCGACAAGTCAAATATTATTAACGTGCCCTAACATTTCCGATATTCTAATTTCCATTGCAAAATTTGAGATGCCAAAATTTTGGACTGAAAAAAAGACGTAGCAAATTTAGAACCCAAATAAATGAGATGCTAAATTTTTTATCGAAAAAAAGACGTCACAAATTTACAACGATCATGTAGTATGTCCATGTTTGCGACGGACTAGTATAGTCCGTCGCAAACTCAAGCTGTCCGTCGCACATTTGTGACGGACTCAACCTGTCCGTCGCAAATTTGCGACGGATTTTTATTTCCGTCGCAAATTTGCAACTGATTTTTTTTTACGGCGCAAATTTGCAACGGATTTTGATTTCCGTCGGAAATTTTTTGTCGGTCAAAAATTTGCGATGGACATAGAACGTCCGTCGCAAATTTGCGACGGAAAGTGGAGTTCCGTCTCAAATTTACGACGGACTCAACCTGTCCGTCGCAAATTTTCACAAATTTTGCGAGGCAATTTTTACCATTCGAAATTTGCGACGGATAATTTAATCCGTCGCAAATTTGCGACGGATTTTTATTTCCGTCGTAAATTTTTTGTCGGTCGAAAATTTCCGACGGACATAATTTAATCCGTCGCAAATTTGCGACGGAAAGTGGAGTTCCGTCGCAAATTTGCAACGGATCAGTATAGTCCGTCACAAATTTGCGACGGACTCAACCTGTCCATCTCAAATTTGCGACGGATTTTTATTTCCGTCGAAAATTTGCAATGGATTTTTTTTTACGGCCCAAATTTGCGAGGGATTTTTATTTCCGTCGGAAATTTTTTTTCGATCGAAAATTTGCGACGGACTTCCATGTCCGTCGCAAATTTTCGCAAATTTTGCGAGGCAATTTTTACCATTCGAAATTTGCGACGGATAATTTAATCCGTCGCAAATTTGCGACGGATTTTTATTTCCGTCGCAAATTTACAACGGATTTTTTTTCACGGCACAAATTTGCGACGGATTTTTATTTCCGTCGCAAATTTGCAACGGATTTTTTTTTACGGCGCAAATTTGCGATCGATTTTTATTTTCGTCGAAAATTTTTTGTCGGTCGAAAATTTGCGACGGACTCAACCTGTCCGTCGCAAATTTGCGACGGATAATTTAATCCGTCGCAAATTTGCGACGGATTTTTATTTCCTTAGTAAATTTTTTGTCGGTCAAAAATTTGCGACGGACATAATTTAATCCGTCGCAAATTTGCGACGAAAAGTGGAGTTTCGTCGCACATTTGCGACGGATCAATATAGTCCGTCGTCAATTTGCGACGGACTCAACCGGTCCGTCGCAAATTTGAGACGGAACTCAACCGGTCAGTCGCAAATTTTGCGATGGAATCAACCTGTCCGTCGCAAATTTTGCGAGGGAATTTTCACCGTTCGAAATTTGCGACGGATAATTTAATCCGTCGTAAATTTCCGACGGATTTTTATTTCCGTCGCAAATTTGCAACGGATTTTTTTTTACGTTGCAAATTTGCGACGGATTTTTTTTTCCGTTGGAAATTTTTTGTCAGTCGAAAAATTGCGACGGACATAAAAAGTCCGTCGCAAATTTGCGACGGAAGGTGGAGTTCCGTCGCAAATTTGCGACATTATTACCCCCTCTCCCCTTCCCCGACGACGCCCAAGCCCGATCTGTGCTGCTCCCACGCCGCCGTCGCCTCAAACCCTCGCAGCCTCGCCCGCAGTCCCCGCCCGTCGCCCGCGTGTCCCCCCCTCCCGTCGGCGGCCGCCGGCCGCCCGCCCCACGCCCACCCCGCCCGTCGCCCGCCCGGCGGCCGCGCGCTCGCTGTCGCAGCCGTCACCGTCGCCGTCGCCGCTACCTGGGCCTCAGCAGCCCGCCTGCAGCCTCCCTCGCGGCCGCCCCCAGCCCCCCGCCTCGCCGCCGATCGCGGCGGCCGCCCGCCCGAGCCTCTCCCGCCCGCTGCCCGCCCCGCCGGGTCGCGCCGCTCGCCCCGCCCGCCTCGCCGCCTCGTAGCGGCCCGAAGCCTCTCCGCGCCAACCGCAGGACCGACGCTGTCGCCGCCGGCCTCGCGCCTCGCCCGCCCGCTGCGGCCGCCCACGCCGTCGGCCCGCAGCCGCTCGCCATCGCCGTCGCCGCCCACCATCGCCCGGCCGAGGCTATCGCCGGAGCCAGCCCCCGCCCGTTGCCGCCCTCGCCGGGAAAGCGACAGCCCACCGCCGCCGCCGGGCCGCCCGCCTTGGACGCCGTCATCACTGTCGCCGCCGGCCGGCCTCCGCATGGGTCGGCCAGCCGGCCACCCGCCTCCTAGTCGCCGGCCGACGCTGCGCCGCCGAAGCCGCCGCCGCCGACGCCTCGCCGCCGCCCGACGCCGTTGCCGCCGACCAACGCCATCGCCGCCGAGCCCGCCGTCGTTTGCCCGGTCGTGGCCGAGCACCTGGCCGACTAGTCACCATTTGGGCCCACACCCGCGCCGGGACCGCCACTGTTCGGTCGGCCGGTTTTTGTTGTCCTTGAACCAAGTAAGCAACTCCCTAAACCCTAGTTAGTATAATTAGGTAATTAGTCGGACTTGTTTATGGATTATTTAGGATCACTTTTCGTTGGCTAAGTTACGGGTCGATTTCAGGATTGCATGTGGCTTTGATCGATGGTCGACTGGTTAATTTGTCTATTATGTGGATGATTAAGCGTTAAATGACGATAAGGTGATTGATTAAGCGTTTTCACAGAAAATGCTTGAAAATTGAACATTTCTATAAAAAATCATAAAAAAATTACGAAAAATTAAAAAAACGGTATATGTTGGCAACAAATATGAAATTTGACTGTAAAAGTTTTTTAAAATTTTTAAAAAACAAAAAATTTCATAACATCACAAAATGGCAAAAATTAATAGTGACCACCCATTTTGAGTGAAATTTAGATTTTTTAACGTTCCGGGACAAAAAATATTAAAATATTAAAAATTTTCATAACCTTATAAAATGGCTTAAAATAAATGTGGTCACCCATTGTGAGGGAAATTTTTATTGTTATTGGGTGAAAAAAAAATTAAAAAAATATAAAATTTCAAAACTGCATAGAATTGCCTAGAAAACATGTAGCCATCAACTTGCAGTGAAATTTAAATTTTTTAGGTTGCCAAAAAAATTAGAATTTAAAAATTTTCAAAACTTCACTGAATTGGCTTATAATACCTCGCACCACCACTTTTAGTTATATTTAATTTTTTTAACGTGCCCTAAAAATTATTAAAATAAAGAAGGACAAAAATTTTGGAAACTTTACCTAATAGCTTATACTACATGTGGCCACCCAATTTTAGTATGGAAAATTTTTTTTATTTCACGGGAAAAATTTTATATTAAAAAATAATAATTTAAAAATTCTAAAAATTTTTAAATTTCAAAACTTTACAGAATGTCTTAGAATATCGGTGGCCACCAACTTTTAGTGAAATTTTTTTTTTTTAGGTCCCAAAAAAAATTTAACAATAATAACAATTTTTCTCTTACAAAACTTTACAGAATGACTTAGGGTGCGCATGAATACCATTCTGTGCCCCGGCGCTATTTCTGAACAGAAATGATTTTTTTTGATTCTGTGCCCGGAAACAATTTCTGAGTATTTAAAGGCGTTTGATAAACTGTCCAAAATTTCTATTCCTAGAGTAGAAAAGAACAGAAATGCGTTTGGTAACTACACAAAATTTCTGTTCCCAAATAATATTTTAATAATATTTTTGAATTGTTTAATTTTTTTTTTCTTTTTATTCATTTTTTTCTTTGGCCATGGCCGGTCGCCGGCGACCGGCCACAGCCTCCAGGCCGGCGAGGCGTCACGGCCCGCCGGCGAGGTCGCTGCGCGAGGGCGGTGGCTGGACCTCGCCGCCCGGGCGAGGCGGCCTCGCCCGAGACGGCGAGGCTCGGCCTCGCCTAGATCGGGCGAGGCCGAGCCTCGCCGTCGCGACCCACGGCGGCCGACCTCGCCGTGGGTCGCGACGGCGAGGCTCGGCCTCGCCCAGATCGAGCGAGGCCGAGCCTCGCCGTCGCGACCCACGGCGAGGTCGGCTCGCCGTGGTCGCGACGGCGAGGCTCGGCCTCGCCAGATCCGGGCGAGGCCGAGCCTCGCCGTCTCCGGGCGAGGCCAACCTCGCCGTCGCGACCAACGGCGAGGCTCGGCCTCGCCGATCCGGGCGAGGCCGCCTCGCCCAGCGGCGAGGGTCCGCCCCTCGCCCTCGCCGGCGAGGGCGACCCTCGCCTCCGCCGGCGGCGGCGAGGGCCGTGACGCCCTCGCCGGCCCCGGGCCGGTGTGGCCGGTCGCCGGCCGCCGGCGGCCGGCCCAGCCCAAGGAAGAAGAACACAAAAATAAGAAAAGAAAAAAAAGAAAGAAAAGAAAAAAAACTGATTCTCAAAATTGTGCCGAGAAACAAGAAGCAACTTTTTTTTACTTCTTGTTTCTCTTCCAAAACTGTTTCTCGGCACAAATTTTTGCAAAAATGTGCCAAGGAACAAAAAATTTACCAAACGCATTTCTGTTCCCAAACTATTTCTGGGAACAAAAGAACAGAAATTTTCACTATTTGGCACGTTACCAAACGGGCCCTTAGAATACCTGTGGCCACCCACTTTCAGTAAAATTAAAATTTTGTACGTGGTCAAAAAAAATTTAATCAAAATGAATGCGATTCATATAGTGATGTTTGATACCTGTGGCCACCCATATCGTACTCATATATTGATGTTTCATATCAAAATGAATGGGATTCATAGTATATTTGTTCGTAGGAAATTGCACGTCATAAGCACTCGACATTGGCTCATTTCAAGGAAACATTTTCTCAGTCTTTCCATCAAAATGGTAAGCTTCGTCATGTACATCATTATGTGTCCGTAATACGTGTCAATAGTTCTTTCCATATTCGCATAACCTTCCTACTTGTCAGTATAAACGTGGAGGTCATTCGTATAGAAGACAAGCCTCTTCCTCGTCCTCGTCCCCGGCCCTTTCCTCTTCCCCTGTCCCGTCATCTAACCCTCAACCACAATATGGTCCGTCACAATATGGACACGTTGGCCCTTCCTCCAACACTCAACAACATGTTATGGGACTTGGCCACATGCGAACTGAATTTCCTCCAGTTCAATCTCCTTTAGCTCCCTCTCCTTCCGTTCCACCCCATTATTCGGCGGAACAATCGAATATTGACGGAAACACAGGTCAAGAAGATAACCGATTCTTCATATGCCCATTTGGAGATTCGTAAGTACTTCATTTTTATTTTAGTATATGTAATATTTAGGGCTTTAGATATTGATGTCAACTGAATTGTCGATGTTGCACAATATCCGTATGATTACAGATTCATGGATGCTCCGTCTGTTATGAGGGAATTGAACAAAATAGTAAGAAACTTTTGGATGGGAGAGTATATTACTTACAGAAGTGTTCCACAAGAAGTGAAAGAAATGTGGTGGAATGAGTTCAAGGTAAGTTTTACATATTTTATTTTCTCACCAATTAAGTTTGGTGTAGTGTATTGATGGTCAAGAATGATGTAAAGAGACCAGAACAACTCTGTAGTTTTCGATACCTAAAGGACCAGATATTTTCCCCGACATGAACTTTACAAAATCTGTCTATATTTGTCTGGTGCATGGTTATGGATATGTGATCATCATAATAACTTTCAATTTGTGTTTTTATTCATTGCAGCAGAAGTTCAAGTGGGAGGAAGCGGAAGACAATGAAGTGAGAAGAATTTTCGATAAGAAAAACGGTGATTTTATGCGAAATGTCATGAATAGAGCGAAGATCAAGCAAGTGAAGCCGTCTTTCTTTACAGCTGACAATTGGGCGGCAATTAACAGATTTTGGGCATCTGAACAGAGTCGGCAACTCTCTGAGCAGAATAAGAAGAATCGATCTTCTAGTTCTAGTGATGGGTCAACCACATATGCTGGGGGCTCTATCAACATTGCGGAGCATCGCAAACGACTGGTAAGTCTGTTAAATGAGTTATAAGTTAATTTAATTCAATTACTCATGTTTACATTTTGTAGGCACAAGAATTGGGGACGGAACCGACATTTGCAGCTACATTTGAACGCACATTTCAAAAGAAAGATAAGACATGGACTGGCGATCGAGCAAAAGCTGTTAAGGTATGTAAGGTTATACTTTGGCTTATATGTAAACTATAATGAAAACCGTGAATGCTTTCAATATTTATGGTAGATATATATAGTGATTTTATTTTCATCTACATTGTTAATGTAGGAAAAATATGATGAACTTTTAATGAGCAGTGCTAGTGGTAGTGATGATTGTCCTGAGTCCGGGCCACCAGTTGATAATATGGCATTATGGATGGAGGCAACGGGTGGGGTGAAAAAAGGGAAAATATTTGGGATGGGATCGTTGTCAAGGATGTACATGCCGAATAATCCTGGAAGTTCATCATCCACTGCGACTGGTCGAAGGAGGCCACGACAAGACGAGCAATTGACCCAAGAAGTGCATCGTCTGAATAATTTACTTGTTCAGAAGGACGAACAAATAAATAACTTGGAACAACAAATGAGACTCGTTATGCGACACCTTAACCTCAATCGCTATGACGATCCTCCTGTACCTCCAGCCAATCCAATAGGTGATGGGCACAATGATGACCAACACATTGATGCCGAGAGTGCTATGATGATGATGATGATGATGATGATTTTCTCCAGTCTTTCTAGTTAAAATTCTCAAAATCGGGGGTAAGCTTGCTTCATAATCTTGGTTTTTCATAATTTCACTCATATTCATATGTAAGAACATTCATATTCGTCCTGAAACGTATTTTTGTTAACCCTCTTGTTATTTTACACCTAGTTTCACATCCATGCATAAACGCTTCTTTTATATTCTGGACTGATTTATGTATCGACATTTCCTCAGGTCTCGACAAAAGTGACTACTTTTGGTGTCCTGCCATCGTACCAAAGCTGCGTCTTCTTGTGTATGGTTTTTCTGCGTCTTCTATGGTTGTCCCGTCTCTTAGTTCATGTTTTGAATGTATTGTAAGATTGGATATCAAATAGCATCATGTCAGACTCTGCAACTTTTCTTCAGTTATTTGTTTCAATTATATGTCATTGTGGCTGGTTTGTCAGAATCTATGGTTTGTTCGTTTTTCTGTTTCAATTATATGTCATTGTCTCCTTTGTTTGATATGGACAAGAATTTATGGCCGAAATGATGTAAAAACAGCGACGAATATTTTAAGCCGAATTTTGCGATCATTACAGTTCGTCGCTAATTTGCGACGAAATTTGCGACGAAATTGCGACGAAATTTGCGATGAATTTTGCGACGAATTTTGCGACGAAATATTTGCGATGAATTTTGAGACGGATTGTATTCGTCGCTAATTTTGTGACGAATTTTGCGACGAAATTTGTGACGAATTTTGCGACGATTTTGCGACGGAATTTGCGACGAAATTTTGCGACGAATTTTGCGACGAATTTTGCGACGAATTTGCGACGAATTCGTCGCAAATTTGTGACGAAATATTTGCGACGAATTTTGCGACGGATTGACGGATTGTATTCGTGGCTAATTTGCAACTAATTTTGCGACGAATTTTGCGACGAACTTTTAAATTTTCCGTCGCAAAATTTTGCGACGACCTAGTAGTGACGGAATTTTTTCCGTCGCAAAATTCGTCGCAAATTTGATTTGCGACGGATTTTTCCAAATTTTCCGTCGCAAATTTCGTCGTTAATCCGGTGTTTTTTTGAAGTGTCTTTTCTTATCTTTTTTGGAATTTTTGCACCTACATATTTGTTAAATTATATATATAGAACAAATCCAAAATTATATTGATTTAAGATATCAAATAGGTTAATATTATTCTATAATGATATTAAAATAGATCTCATTAATGTCTATATAGTAAAATCTTCTGTGCCTCGCAATAATTCCTGTTAATTTTGGACTGTTTTTTTTTTGTCCTTAGAATTGTCATATCTGTACTTGTGATGAATGTAGAAAGATCTCAAAAGTTGTCCAGAACGATGGCTAATATTGCTGATTAAATACAAATTACACGCTGCGAGATTGAACAAGAGAGATGAATAAGGAATTTTGTGGAAAGTCCGAGCATGGAAAAAGGCTATATGTAGTGCAAATAGATAACCACATTTTTCAGCTTTATTTATAGAAAACAATAATATTTTGTTGCCATGCTCGAGTTTAGGACAATCACATTTAATTCGCATGGTGCTTTTATCATCGAAGTATAAATAAAGATGGATAATCCCACCAAAGATAGTAAACTTTTCTTCGTGGGACATTGAACTCCTAAATTTTTTTCATCTCATCAAAACCTCAAATTTGTAGTAATAACATAAAAATACTTTTCATTAGATTTCTGTCCAGGCCGTTAGAAATCCGACTGCATTGTCCAAGCATGCCGCCACGTCAGATATTTAACAGCCATTACGGACGAATTTGTGACGGAATGCATTTTTGAGTCACCAGTATAAGTTCAGAGTTTGATGAGACGAGAAAAAGTTTGAGGTACGGATATTTCACGGAGAAAAATTTAAGGTTTTTTAAGAGATTTTTCGGGAAAAAAAGGGCTTGCAGAAGGTCGTTGGTTTACTCTGTATCTAGTGTCACTACAACAAAATGCTCATATGCCCGCACTTCATTTAATGCTAAATGTTTATTTATTCTACATAAAATAAATGGGATATAGAGACAATGTCTGGTATATTATACTTGAGATCTTTCTGGAGAGAGTAGACGTGTGGTCTAGTGTAACCGAGACCAATTTCATCTGGATATATTTCAATTATCCGAAGGAATGGATTCCTTTCTTTGGCGTGATGTCATGATTATTGACAATCCTAGCAAGAATCTTGAGGATATGTTAGTATTCAACGCATATGGGTTCTTGATATTAGTAATAAAATGAGATTTTCAATCATTTAATCTATCAAGAGTCAGCCAAATTACTTTTATTAGAGAAATTGAGAAATTAGAGTATGTTCTTGTCAAAGCGCATTGGGAAGACGAGCTTTCTCTTTGGAAGGAAGTAATTGACTGGAGAAGTAAATTATTTAAGACAAACTTTAGTGGCGGTCCACCCTAATGCATTTGCTTCGTGATCATCTCTATCAATCTTCCCATCGCTCTCCCACCTTTTGGGCCCGAAAGACAATTCACTTTTCAACTTTGGCCAACTTTAAAAAAAAAAAATGGGGATATTCTAGGGACCTTGAGGAAAGGTATGAACATCGAAAAAGTAGTAACATCAAGTCTAATCGAGAGAAGGATGACGAGGAAACATTACGTGCAAGTAGAAAGGATCAGATATACAATACTAATCCTAGTTTTCAACACCCACCCATGTAATAAAAAAGACAATGCTGTCCTATTTGTAAACAAAGGTTTCATTTTCACCACCTCCGCCGAAGGATAAGACGATGTTCTCACCTCTGGATGATGCCGCGAGTTCAGAATAAATTAGAGCTATGATGCGCCAATAGGGAGGGACGGTAGCATCTTGTGCCACAAGATAATGGACAAACGTGACGATGAAAATTTCGTTGCAGTAGCATCAATAGCCTTGCTTATGACATTTTCATGGGTGGTGATGTAGCATATATAGCTTGATCTGAATATATTGTAATAAGCTTGATATTTGTTGATAGCGTTTATGGAGAATAGCTAATGCTGGTAGCCTTTTGCATGACGTTTATTATCTCATAAGAAAAACAAGAGAAAAATGAACAGATTTTCGTGTCGGGAAACACGAACTCAGTACACCAACTATTATCAATAAATATAATCATGAAATTGATAAGAGTATAAACTCTGATTGACAACAATTTCTTCAAGGAGGGGAAAAAAAGGACCTATTCACAAGATGGTGCCACAAAAAAGCCTGAAAAAAAACAGCTTATACCATAATTTCTAAGTTCTTTTTTTCGTCCTACAAAATTTATTCGCTTTATTTTGCCTCACGAATTCAAATTTCAACAAGATCCCAGCCGGCCCTTGTCGACGGTCGAAACCAAGAATCGCCACACTCGAATCTCGCCGTCCAGGCTTCCGCTGAACACCGTGACGAGGCCGTCTCCGCCGGAAACGGCAACCAGCGACTTCACGGGCCTCCGGTGGCCCTCCAGCACGGCCAAGCAACAGTACCTGCCCTCCGCTGCCCGCCGCCAGATCCTCACCGTCCGATCCGCCGACCCGCTGAGCAGCAGATCGGAGACGCTGGTCAGGCACAGGATCGCCTTGGCGTGCCCTCTCAGAGCGCCCGTCACCACCATGTGGTTGGCGCTGTCCTCTCGCTCCCACACCAGTATCGAGCGGTCGCACGCGCCCGAGAACAGCACCGACCCGTCCGCGGCCAATGCGAGCGCGTTGACCGCCGACCTGTGCTTCTCCAGCGTCGCCACCAGGGAGTGCCGCTCCTCGCCCGTCTGCCTCGCCCAGACCCGGATCCTCTTGTCCGCTGACCCGGTGTAGACCGTCCCGTCGGTGGCCACCACCACAGCGTTGACCGCGTCGTGGTGGGCCCGGACGGACTCCAGGCACCGGAGATCGGAGCCGCTGTCGCCGCCGCCGCGCCATGCCTTGAGGGTCTTGTCCCAGGAGACGGAGTAGACAAGGCCGCCGTTCGCCGCGAGGGCGGAGACAGCGTCGGCGTGCTCGATCCAGAGCTGCTTCCGGTGGCGGCGTACCGTGACGTAGTTCTTCGGGAGCATGAAGCGGCGGAGGCGGTCGCCTACGGTGGGGAGGGTCGCGACCAGCCCGTGCCGCCCGTCTGCCGCTGCCTGCCAGACGCGGATCTTCGAGTCCTGGTGCGCGGTGAAGACCCGGCCACCGCAGAAGACGACGGACTTGACGGAGCCCGAGGATGAGGCGCGGGTGTTGAAAGCGTCGATGCGGGAGATCTCGCCGCCGGCGGAGCCATCGGAGGTGTCGTAGACGTGGATCTCGTGGCCGCAGGCGGCGTAGAGGAGCTTGCCGTGGGGGGCGAGGCAGGTGATGGGGAGGAGGCAAGGAGCAGACAGAGCGTAGAGGAGGTGGTGAGAGACGGAGAGGTGGAGGGATTCGGTGGTTGGGGTTTGGAGGGAAGGGACGGACGGTAGCGTTTGGAGGGAGAGGTTGGACTCGATGCTGCTGCTGCTGGTGTCGCGAGAGGTTGAGCTTGACGATGAGGAGGATGATGACGACGTGCCGCCGCTCGGAGAGCCGGAGGAGGGGCTTGTGCCGCCGTTAGACGATTGGTAGAGGGACAAAGGGACGGTGGCGTCGGCGGCGGTGGCAGTGCAGGAGGAAGAGGAGGAGGAGCAGGTGGCGAGCCATGACCGGACCTTCATGGCCGTAGTCCTTGTTTTCGAGCGGGGGCGAGAGAGGAGTCTAGGGGCTGCATAAATAGAAACGCATGGGAGGGGGACTGAGGAAACAATATTTAGCTATAGACAATAGACATGATCAAGTATAAAGAAAAACTTTTCGCAACTTGCATTTCTTTATTTGTCTAGTGTGTACATTTCCTCGAAAGAGTGATGGTAGACACAAGACATCCTAAACTCGCCCCCGACCGATAGGATATGCGAGATTGTTTGAGAACCCGACTACTTTTCGTTAGCTTCATTTATTTTGCAAAAAATAAATATTTTATAAAATATTTTTCTAAAATTAATCGTTTATATCGCTTGAGATAATTAGTCAATGAAAAGTAAGAAATATTACCAAAAAGGGAGAAAAGTACCAAAAAAGTCTTAAACTTATTGCATTGGTACCAATTCAGTCATAAACATTTTAATTGGATCAATTTAGTCTTAAATATGTTCACATTGATATCAATTCAGTCCATCCGGCCAATTTATGCCGGAAATCGCTGACGTAGATGCCGGCAGTCCTACGTGGCACCGCCGGCCGACGTTGACGTGGATAAATTTTATAATTTTTTTAAATTTCTTTAATGTTTGTTTTCTCTTCCCAGAACTGGTGGGCCGGCGAGGTCGCCGGCCAACCATCGCCGACCACAGGCTAGAATGGGCGAGGGCCCCTGCACCCTTGCCGGCCACAGGCGAGGACCGAAACCCTCGTCTGTTGGCCGGTGAGGGCGGCAACGCCCTCACCCAGACCAGGCGAGGGCGTCGCGGCCCTCGCCTGCCACGAGCGAGGCTCGCGGTGCCCTCGCCTTGTCTGGGCGAGGGCTTCGCCGCCCTCGCCGGTCGGGCCGTTGCCTGTGGCTGGTGAGGGCATAGCAGCCCTCACTCGTGGCTAGCGAGGGTGCAGGGGCCTTCACCCAAACCAGCTTGTGGCCGGCAATAGTCGATCGACGACCTCACCGACCATCCAGTTCTGGGAAGAGAAAAAAAATATTAAAAAAATCTGAAAAAATTATTTAAAATTTATCCACGTCAGCGCCAGCGGTGTCACGTATAACCGCTGGTGTCCGCGTCAACAATTTCCAACATAAATTGGTTGAATGGACTAAATTGGTACCAATGTAAAAAGGTTTGGGACTAAATTGATCCAATTGAAAGGTTTAGAACTAAATTGGTACCAATACAATAGGTTTATGACTTTTTTTGGTACTTTTCCCAGCAAAAAAGTCATCAATATGTTGCACTTGTGTCAATTTAGTCATACCTTTCGATTATACCAATTTAGTCCTAATAGTTTTTTCGATCAGTTTTGATCGGAAAACGCTAACGTGACGGACTAGTCAAAGTCTATTGTCTTATGTGGCTCTGACGTGGACAAGATTTTCTTTTTTTTTCCTTTTTATTTTTTCTTTCCTCTTCGCCAATGGCTGGAGATCGGCTACAAGGGAAGCTGGCAAGGGCTTGCAGGCCCTCGCCCTGTGGCCGGCGAGGGTCGCTAGGACTTCTCCGCCACAATAAAGGAAAAGAAAATAAATAATTTAAATTTCAAAAAATTTTAAAAAAAAATTAATAAAAATTGTCCATGTCAGCGTCAACGATGCGGTGTAGGATGGCTAATGTCCACATTGGTCATTTCTATCCATAATTGACAGGATAGACTCCATTGACAAATTGTCATAAGGTTTAAGACTAAATTCGCCAAATTAAAAGGTTTAAGATCGAATTGTACAAGTACAATAGGTTTATGACTTTTTTGGTAATTTTTCCATAAAAAATACTTTTATTATTGAAAATAATTATATATAATCATCTACATGGATGATGAAAATATATTTCATTCATTTATTGTAAGCGATACAAGTAATTATTTTTTGGAAAATATTTTTCAAAATATTCATTTTTACGAAATAAACGCACCTTTAATGAGAGAATTTGAATTGACGCATGGGACCTCTCTTGTCCTCTTTTTCTCTTCCACTCCAAGCTCCCTTGACTGAAAAGTAACTCTCAGACGAGGGAGGCTCCATCTTCCCAATTTGAATTGAGATTTTCTCTCCCAATCTAATCTAGCAGCATTTTATTTTATCAAGTTTTTTTGTTTTTTTTTTTCCTTCACACACTACTTATGCTCTTTGCTACTTGCTAGTGTATGTTCCACTTCCATTGTTAGGAATCAACCCGCTGCTTCAAATTCTCCAAACCAAGAAGTTCACCAAGATCAAGGAGGGATACGATGAGTTCATACTGCACTGGAAGTAGCAATACGACTTTTTCAAGTTTTAGAAGTTCTCATCTCCTAATTTAGATCTAGATGTGGGATCTCTTCTCTCCCGATCTAGATTTAGATCTGAGAGTTCCCTAGAGACGTTTTTGTGCTCGTTCAATCTTTTCCCAATCTAGATTTATATTTGGGAGCCTGTTCAACCTGTATTTGATGTCTCCGTATGGTGATAATATTGAGAACGCTGAATCTAAGTGTACACCACCTACTGGGCAAGCCATAACCAATGGAGAAAGAGATTACGATGTGCGCTCGTCACTTATGATAATGCAAGATCTAGTGAACAATCGACATTCGTTTTGTTTAATGTTGAGACAGATTTGTTCTCATGAGATGAAAGTCTGCTTATCACTACAGTTTATGATTTATTCTTGTACTTTGGATTTGCTTTGTTTTAAAGCTCTCATGTATTATTTTAAAATCTTGAAATATAAAAAAAAAAATTTGATGAATTGAGCGAGGACATCGATCAACTTCAGCACTTGAGCAATCCGATGGATGGCACGTGTTGCTCATTATTTTCAGCAGTTGGATTTTATTTTGTTTTTTCCTAAAAAATTCTTTAAAGTTGAAAACCCAAGAGCAAAACCACCGTTGGAGCAGCTTCTCTCTCTTTGAACCCCTCACCTTGTTGCCATTCTCACCGGAAACGTCGCCGCCTGCCACCACTTGCCCCACCACGGGCCGCCGCCTTTGTTCGACCGCCACGATGTCGTTGGCAACCCGGCGCCTCCCGTCGGGAAAGGAGAGTAGTTTAGTCTAGTATGTCAAAATTATACCAAAAATACCCAAACATAGTCGTACCAAGAGAAATAAGAAAAAGCGATTATTAATAATTACTATTCCATAAATATGTGGGGGCTGAGAGAGGACGTGGAAAGTGACGCGTTGGAAGATGACAGAAGGAAGAGATGAGACGGGGACATGATTGATGGTACGATGCGACCGAGGTTGTCAAAAGGACGAACTGGGGCATCTTCGTGCGTCCCAGATAAGACGTTGAATTAGGAAGTAGATGTTGAATTAGTCATCATCCTAGATCATGTCGCACTCCTTAATGGTTATACACGTATGAACATGGTAGTCAAAAAAAAAGAGAAAATTAAGCAAGACGGCGATTTGGCAGATTAGATCAAGGAGGGTTTGAGCGCTTTCGGTCGACGATCGAACTATCCTATCGACTATCTCGTAGGATTGCCATGTATTAATTTGGGCCTGACCGAGTATATCAAATTACAGGAGAAAACACACGAAATCCCATGCATGGATAAATTTAATGGGAGCAAACACGCAAAAGCATCTATCAATAGGGACGACAAGGATGAATCTTAGAGTCCTGATATTTTGAAGATTTCAATCATTATAAGATCTAAAAAGGGTCAGAATGCACGATTGTCATTGGCGTGGAGTCAAAGGCTGAGGGGGAAGCCGGAAGTAGAAGACAGAGGTCGAGGGGGCTCGTGGGCGTGGAGGCGGTCGCGCATGGAGTTCGGCATTGGAATCGCCGGAGGTGATGGAGTCGAGCAGCAGCTCGGCGGAGGCAAGCAGAAGGAGAGAGAGAGAGAGAGAGAGCATGAAGTGAGGGCAATATTGAAAGAAAAACAATTCATCAAACTTTAGAAATAGCATTCCGAAAATGCTAAAAGCTCATTGCCCAACGAGACTCGAAGCCAACGAGGATGAAGCGCTTCTATTGATTTCTTGAAGTCCTGGTATTTTGGCAACTTCGACCATTACAAAATTTAAGGAAAGATGATAAGGAAAACGCGGTAATGTCAGGAAGATAAAAGAAGAGAAAGAGATGCAAGCAACTTTTTCTCCTGCACTTTGGAAAATGTTAAGGGGCCCCTCCGCTCCAGTTGGTGCCAGTCCCACAAAGGCGGGGGGCGGAGAGGATGATGCTGTAAACCGTGCGCTTTTTAGCATAGCAACAATCAAGACGAGAAAGAGGGATAAATGTCACAAAAAGGAAGACCCAAAACAAAAGAAAATCATCAGAAAAATAAAGAAGAATAAAAAGAAAAAGGAAAATGATGGGTGATGATATTTGGAGAAAAATAAATGTTCATGTGTGCTCCGTGAGCCCGCTCGATCTGGGTCGTTCGGATTAAGCGATCGAGGTGTGCGTTGAATTCGCGATTTGCACGACATTTGATGGTGAGATCGATGGAATTCGCACGATCCAAAAGCCATGCTGAGATCGCTCGTGCGGGAAGGAGAATAGGGTGTTTTACATTCCGGGAAATGGAGGTACATCATTGTCTAATCCGCCTATAGGTCCCACCGAAGACAAATGTCATTTTCTTTATCTTTCTTTCTGTCCCCTGTAATTAAAGAAGACGGATCCCCTCCCCATCACCGTCGCGTTAGAGTTATCGTGAAATTGGGTCCCACATCATCCTTAGCTTGGCAATTTCGATGCGTTTTTGGCCTTTCTATATATCATCATGATAAAAAGCTTGACTCGGTAATTGGAATGATTAGGAGAAGAGAACTTTGCAAATACGTGACCGTATTAAAAATATTGAATTTAAGCGATGCGGGATATCACACCTCAACAGTTCGTGCTACAAAACAATTCATGAGATTAATGTACAATGTGAAATGACAAACTCTGAATGTTCTAAACAAGATGATATATCTGCGAGATAAATAAGGATACTCAAAGATCGGATTGTTACTTTTTTTTTTTTTGTTCCTTTTGCCGCTCGTCTAGTATTAAGCTGTATCGAAATAGTTATTACTTCTGTAATGTGGAGCTGT